TAAATGCCTTCTGTATTCCATGCAAATGCCACTGGAAGCTCAGGGGACACAGCTAAATATCCATTACTTCCAAGTGAAGAACACAACAGAAGATAATTTGGTTGCTCATAACTGTTCCAAGCTCTTATGAGAAACAGATCCAACGAGTTACACAAAAGGAGGGAAAATGCTCTAACTGCTGCGCCTGTTGCATCATGCTCAGTGGCCTGCTCATCTGGGACACACTGGATAAAAGCCCTTCTTGAGCTTACGGCAGTGTCAACACTCTTCTAAATGACACCCACCACGTTATGTGGGAGGGCACAAGATCAGGCAGGGTGTTCTTGCCCTCCCTTCTTGGGGTGTTTCTGCATGCCAGGCCAGATGGATGAAGTCTCTCCTGCACAGCAGCTAAACCAGAATGGTTTGCACAGAGGAGACCAAGGCTGGGAAAACCATGTAGAAGAGGGAATGACAGGGCTAGAATCAGCTGATTTTCTAGGGTATTTTCTAAAAGAAATGATGGTGGGAATACAGCCAGGAAGAAACTCTCTACTTTCCTCTGTACCGTCTGGTTAACTGGCACCAGATTTGCACTCCAGCCTTCGTTAACAGGATGGTGAAAGCTACCTACTATCACCCCAAAAGAAGAAATGGAACTATGAATAAAATAACAAAATGTAGATCAAAAATAGAATAAGGCAATACAAACTCCACATGACAATGATCCTCACTCTTACTAGAATAAAATCTAAAAATTGCGTTGTTCATTTTTTTAAGAAGTTAAATCCTCTCCACAAGGAACACAGTGGATGGAAAATGCAAACTGGAAAACCATGTGTCCATAGAAATTGAATGCCAATGAAGCTCCACTAAATACCCAGCATTTGGGTCTTTGATGAGCAAAAAATTAATATTTGACCACCCTCTTGAAAATGAAATTTAGCCATATGCTAACATTGATGCCAAGGTAAAACTCTGACAAACTGAGCAATCAAAAGCAATATACACTGAAGCTGACAGATCTATTTGGAAAACCCAGCTAATATCAATACCACTACGCACAACAGCATCACACATGTATCTTCAGCTTTATAATTTACTGTATTATATGAGGGTTGTGCAAGTATTTGTGGAGTACAAGAAGTGGTAACACTCTACCTCTTAAACCAAAAGGAGTTGGGTCACTCACTACTTCATGTCGTTTAGCTTTTTTGTCAGGGCTGGTAGGAGAAGCTGCAGGAGGATGAATAGGCAAAAAACACAGAAGAGAGATATTGAAGAACTGGAAAAAAGAGAATAGGTGGAATGCAAGCTAAATACCTTTGAGTTTACACTGGAAAACAAATGATTTCTGTAATCAAGCTAATTTTAATCGTGAGGGGTCAGTTATAGCAAAAGAAGTTAATTAGTCACATAAAATTATTTGAGGAAAGAATGACAAATTTATTCTATAATAATAGGCAAAGGTATATGCAACCGTTTCTAAATGAACTAGGTATCAGCTGAGTATAATTAATCTGATTTCAGACAAACATCACCAGATTGAAGCAATCATTTTTTACACAAGTCTAGTGCTACAGCAATACCTGGTCCTGTAAGAAGGATCATTGGCAATGTCTGGCTTTTAGCAGTAGATGATGGAGTTTCTGTCAAGGCAAGCATGGCATATTAGTGCTCACCTCATTTATATTTAGAGTATTCAGATATGCAACTCTACACTCTCTCCAGAAACAACTCAAAGGTAATCAGATTTTCAAAAGACATTTTGAAAAGATGCTGAAAAAAAATAAAATGATGCTTTTAAGCAGTATCATCATCTTAGTGCAATTCAGACCGTTCAAAAATAGCTATTCAAAGCAAGAAGTGAATGTACCAGCACAGTTACTTGGCAAGAGGAAGCAAGAAGCATTTCAGACTTCTATTGCCCATTTCAGCAACAAAAAGAACCTTTTTTGGAAGCAGGGGGAAATTTTTATTTATTTTTGTAGCTAGAAAGGAACATTGTAATAAGTATTCTGCCATAGTCATAGTTTGGGAGTTCATTAACAAGGGAAGCTAATATGAAAACACTCTAGTAAAACCTTGATTCCTTTTTGCCAAGTACAGGCACATTTGGGACAAATCCACTAAAGTTAAAAGCAGGTCAGGCATTTGATCTAAAACTAACTTCCTCCTAGGCTTTCTGTAGGAGTGGGCACTCCAAGCTCTTTCCTAGGCCTCATCAGCAAGAGCAGAGGTATCAGAAGCTGCCTTCCTTCCCTCACACCTTCAACAACTGCTCTTTTCCAGGCTGCATTCTCCCTTTCCCACATCATCTCCTCGTTTCTCTTCAAGGCTTCCTATCAGGGTCTGTGATTCAGGAACCTGCCTGGAATGGAGGAGAACAAGCTAATGCGTCACAGAGCATACGTGAACCTGTTGCACTACACACATTCACAAAGGGATGCACCAATTGCAGCTTTAAATAGAGAAAAGAATCTAGCTTTTCAAAAAATTACCTTTCTGACTTTTGAGGTTAGTAAAGCCCTGCAGCGTAAAGCACTTTTTTGACAGTACAGAGCATTCTGAGGTAGAGCTAGTGTCATCTACAAAGGAAGAGAGAGACACAGAAAGAAAGGGGAGAAGCCCAAGAAGAGGTTGAGGCAACAAATCATTCACAGCCTTCCCAGGGAACCAGCACTTAGGGTGGAGAGAGAATAACCAAAAGTCTAGGCACAAGGAGAGAACCTAAGTGCCCTTTATTCTTACTGTTTATGTTATCACTAGTCCAGTAAATAACTGTAGCAGTGAGAATCAAACCTGAAGTAAAACACTCTCCTAGACAAATTTCTTGCCACTAGCTGTTCTGAAGACAAAAGCTCAGAAGCCAATTGGTCAGGTCTAAGGGAAGACCTACTGCAGAGTCAGGCCTCATACCCTATAATTCCCACTTCATTTGGGCTGTTCCTTGTCCTCGGTCAACACGGTGGCTTTGGGCCTGTCCACAGCAGACAGGGCACACAGCAATCCCAGAGCTAAATGCCAATGGGACCATCATGGCTCATGCAGCACTTGGTGGGGGTAGCTGCCTCAGGCCTTTAGAGCAGCAAAGCCAAGCTCGCTCAGGTGCAGCGTTAGATTTGCCTGCACTACCATGGCTAAGCTATGGGTGAATCTGCCTGTGCACTTGCAGCAGAGAAATGCTCTTCACATCTAGAGGATAGGAATGCATATGTGTAAACTCACCTTTGCCTTTCTCAGGGTACTTTGGTGCTACTGTGGTGCCAAAACCCTCTGGACTCACGAGATCAGATTTTCTCTCTTCCATTTTTTTTGCATTTCTAATGTTGTTCCGTGAAGGACTGTTCATTGAAAGAAAATTAGGACAATCAATCCACATCCAGCACATTTGGGTCTGAACAAGGGTGATGAACTTGTGTCAGAGACTGCCTATTGCATGCAGATATAAATTGAAAACCATTTCTTAGCTACTTCTCAGTTCATAGTTTCCAAATTTGAAGAAGTCATTGATGACAACACACAGAAGGATCATGACCAAGTAACGAAGAAGAGACTACAGCTGCAGGAGCAGCTAAAGATAGCTCAGGACAGTTTCCACTCACCCTCAACTACAGACACACATTCTGCACTGACAACTTCCTCCCAAGCGCACCAATAAAAACAGAGGAAAGAAATCCAACATGCTCTTAATACATGAAGTAGATAAGGGATGAACGAGCAACACAGGCTGAGTCTTGCAATTGGATTCCCACCACACTTACAGTTTGGGAATGGAATCACAGAATTCCAGAATGGTTGAAGTTGGAAGGCACCTTTAGAGATCACCTAGTCCAACCCCCCTGCTCCAGCAGGGACACCTAGAGCACGTGGCACAGGGTGGCATCCAGACGGGTTTGGAAGATCTCCAGAGAAGGAGACTCCACAACCTCTCTGGGAAGCCTGTACTGGGGCTCTGTCACCCTCACAGGAAAGAAGTTCCTCCTCACATGGAGATAGAACTTCCTGTGTTTCAACTTGCACCCATTACCCCTTGTACTGTCACTGGCCACCACTGAGAAGAGTTTGGCCCCATCTTCTGATCCCCCTCAGGTATTTTTACATATTGATCAGATCTCCTCTCAGTCTTCTCTTCTCTAGGTTAAACATGAGGAAAGACTAAGCGAGCGGGCCCTGTGATAGATACTCCAGTTCCTTAATCATCTTCATCGCTCTCCACTGGACCCTCTCCATGTCCCTGTTGTACTGGGGAGCCCAGAACTGCACCCAACACCCGAGGTGAAGCCCCACCAGAGCTGAGTAGACCTCAACCTGCTGCTGGCAACACTCCTCCTGATGCAGGCCAGAATCCCATTGGCCCTCTTGGCACATTGCTGACTTGTGGTTAACTTGTCAACCAGGACTCCCAAATCTCTCTCTGCAGAGCTGCTTCCCAGCAGGTCAATTCCTAATCTGTACTGGTGTCTGGGGTCTCCCCATGTGCAGGACCCTGTACTTGTCCTTGTTGAACCTCATGAGATTCCTCCTCTCTACCCAACCCTCCATCCTGTCTAGGTCCCTCGGAATGGCAGCACAGCCATTCCTCAGGAGTGTCAGCCACTCCAGTAAGGGAGGGCCACTCCAGAAAGCAGAAAGCCACCTCACGAGCACTATACATCTGGAAAATCTGATTGATAAGCAGAGGCATAAAACATTCAGGGCAGAGAGCTACTGATACATATTTGTGTATATATATCATGTGAGAATGACTAAGATCAGAAACATGTGGGCTCATGGATAGAGCCTATACATATGCAGGTGCACATATATCATGAAAAAGCAAGTGAGTAGCAGGGGACTGAAAGAGGGATCAGAAAAGGGCAGAGCAACAGAAGGGATAAGAAGTGGGATAAAAAAAAAAAAAAAGGCTTGAATTTTAACTCACACACTGGAGGAATGAACACAGCATTTAGTAAAAAGGAACAGAAATTGGAAGAAAATAACCAGAAACACGAAAAAAGACAGAATGCACTGAAAAGGACACAAAGAAAGATGACATAAATTTTATATAGAAAAAAAAAAAAAGGTTGGATAGTTCAAATGATGGGGGAAGAAAAAAAGAGAGAGAGAAAAGGTAGCTCCATGTAACTCTCACCTGCAATTTAAAGTAGGTAGCTAGCTGTTCAACAAATAATTACATAAAACCACCAGAATTTTGTTCAGCACACAAAATTACTCATCTGCACTGTTTTCTGGCAGCTGGCAAAGCCTATGCAACTGCTGGAAAGATGCAAATCTCAAGCACTACAACTTTATAGTAGAAAGAGACCTGAAAGTCCTAAAATATAAAGGCCAGCATTAAGGGACATAAGCAATGAAGAACTGCTAAGTGAATTATTACTATATTTGCAAGACAACGAGGTTGATTTGATAATGTTTTTACTCACCTTGTACAAGATGTTGCTGGTAGAGGTAAACTGTGTGTTTGTTCTAGGGTCCTATGCTGGCTAGCTTCTGTAACGGAGATACATTAAACTCATTTCTGTTACAGTTCAATTTTTAAAGTCCTACACAGTGAGTATATGCAGGGTAGGACTGGAAGACCAAGGGGAAGAGAAATAAAAGATATTTTACCTCTACATGCCTGCAGTTGACTAGTCAGCACTTTTCTTATTTCATTTACCCAAGTAGCTTTAACTTCAGGAGTTGGTGCCTACCCAAAAATAAATACAAGTGGGCATCAAGCACAGAACAGTTCCTATGCAAAAAGCTTCATGCCTAAGCATAACCTCAGAAATCGTTCTCTCTAGGTATTAATCAAAGTGATACTATTTATAAAATTTGACCCCAGTGAGGCAGGAAGCTGTGTGCTTTGCACTGTGCTCCCAGCACGTGGCTATTCCTGCAAGAAGAGCAATAGTGTATATAGCTGATTTGGAAATGTTGCCATATCTTGTTTTTTAACCTGTTGTAAAAATTCTTGTCCTGCAAGCACACGTTAGTTCACATGCCTGAATAATATTACTGTAACTATAGGATTCCAGAGATGTAGACTTGAAAGTTCTTCTAGGATCAATGTACACCCTATACGGTTTTATTCAATTTTTTCCAACTGATGACTTGGATATTATACTAACTGTAGTAGCGATCATAATATTCATGTAGGAATACTAAAACGTGACTTTTTGCTCCTGCAGAAAACTATGCAATTAGAATATGTCATTTAAAAATGCATTATGAATTAACCTGTTTATAGTTTTTCCCCTTCTTGCTTCACTGTTCATTAATGATATACAAAAGAAAACAACCCAGATATTCTTCGAGTTTTTTTTTTTTATTTAAAATAGCAACATATTTTTACCTGTATGATGTAAACTTCTTCCCTTGCATTATACCAGATTTCAAATTTCTTTGCATCACCTTTCACATTTTCTGTTATTCCAACTGCTGCCATCTGGAAGCAAAGAAAACAGAAGCTGACCTACCAAACTGCAACTAAGATAAGAACAAAAGCAGAAGTTTACTGGTGTTTGTTAACTTTTGTTCCTGAAAAGCAAAACCACATTTAAGTTCCTGCTCAAGTAAAAAGCATAACCAGCAACACATGATCTGTATGCTGCTTGCAAGAGACTTCCTGTTTTGTGTCAGCTTGGTTACATCAGAGGGAAGGGCAGTTTTGTTATGTTAAATTGTGACTGACCCACAACGAAAATTGAGACTGACAGGTCTTCTTTCTGTTTTACACTATCTTATTCTACTAGTGATTTCATTTTCTGTGCAATTGATGCAATCTGCCATTCATTCAGACTAATACAGTTGGGATTTTCTCAAAGCAGAGTGTTTTCATCCCCCTCTGGCTCTAACAGAACAACATAAAATAACACAGAATTGTAGTACCAGTCAGATTTGTCTCAAATGGTAAAGTTATATCACATCTGTGCAGACAAAACAATTAAATTCTGCATTACTGCAACCTAAGCCCTCAGTATCACTTTATTACAGCTCGGTGTCTTACGTTTAAGGAGTGCTTATAGCTATAGGAAGGTGCTTTCTCGTAGCCCTCTCCATTCTCTTCTCTCTTTTTGCAGAACAGCACTGCTTTCTCATGGAGGAAGAGGTGCCGCTGCATCGGTTTGAAGCGCGCCAGATCCTTCACCTTGGAGTGACCTTTTTTATGATCAGTCCAGACACTGAAGGATCCCTGCATCAAAAGTTTGCCCAGCTCATTCAGGTTGCCCTGGAAGAAAAACAAAACACATCAGACAATTCAGTAAAAGGCACCTTTGTAAGGCACTCTTCTCTCCCCTTTCATCGGGGCACAATATGGGGGTATGTTGCATATAGGCATGTAAAAAAAATAAAGTGTTGTTACTCACATCATAGCCAGTAATGGCTATCTGGTGCATAGAATCATTGACTGCTTTGAGAATACCCAGTATAGAAGTCAATGCTTCTTGGAGATCTTCAGCACCTTCACAGTTCTTACTGTATTTCAGCATTTCCTAAGGGTGTGGGGAATCACACGTTTACTTAGTTTTGGAAATGGCAGCATCTAGGAATGTTCAAATCTTAACACCAACCATGGGCTATGATTTTAAAGCTTTGCAGTGAAGTGTTTACCATGTGCAGATAGCTGATTGCCTAGTGGCTGGAACCCAAATTTTACCTCTCGCATTTATTGCTAATTAGCCCTAAAATACTTCAATCATATAACTTTTATAAGTGCTACCTAGGAATTTTACAAGACCAATTTTGCAAACCTTTTTCGTCATAATTACTAACGTTACATGTATTTATTTAATATTTGAATGCTGGTAATAACTGGGATGCTAGCGACATGTCTGAACTTACTGTTTTGAGAACAGCTCTATTCATCTTAAAAGAAAAAGCTGTCCTTCTCCAAAGAGTTTATTGGCAAAGTGGCAAAAGATACCTTAATCCAAGGGCCCTGATCCTGCAACCTGATCCAAACATAGTTGTGAGTCCATGTGGAGCCGCACAGACTTGCAGGAGATGACACATGAGAAGACACTTTTACTCACAGGGGTCAGACTGCAGGATAGAGCGTAAACTTGGGACAAGATTTTTTTTTTAAAAAAAAAAAATCTGCTAAATCTGATTATTGAAACTGAATGTCTTTGTGTGAAATATTTCTTAAAACAAGCTGTTTTCAGACATTTATATGCTACAAAACTTTGGTGGCAAAAAGCCATTCGTTTTTAAATTTGTAAGGGTATATTCCTCTCATTTTGTGCTCTCAGTTTAATATATTTAAATGAATCACAATGGCATGCTTCCTAAAAATACCATCCAGTCCTGTCAGTTAAAAAGTATTTCTTAAAAAGCTTTCTTAAAAAGCATTGCTTAAGTACATTTCCTAGAAACCTGAGCAGCTTTGGAGACCATAATTAACTTGAGGATATTTCCTGGCTGCAGTCTCAAAACAAGGAAGGCCAATTCCTGTAACAGGCATGAGGTCACTGAATACTAACAAGCAATTCGGATAGATTTTTTTCTTTCTTGCAATGATTTCTTGGTCCTTTTGATTCCCCTAGTCAACTTTCTCATCTTCTTCAGCAGAAATATAAAAGCAAAAAGGCAGAAAAGGTATCTCTGTGACAACACTTGTCTATCAGCTTTGTCCAGCAGATTTTGGGCTGAAACAGAAAAGGACTGAGCAAGCATTTGCTAGACTGGGATTTTGTCTCTGTTTTGATTTATACAGCTCTCTGCTGAAAGAAGCAGCACTAAGAGAAAAAAACAAAACAACCCCCCCCCCGACACCCCTAAACATCCCGCCGAAATGAATATTTTATAATACTGCTCCATAAAAGCATACCTTTAACAATAACTGATATTTGGTTATTCTTTGAACAGGTTTCAGCAAGTACGAGTCCAAACTCAGCTTGTGGTCAAGTTTCCTTTGACATTCCTGTGATCAGTAGTAGATTTCATTAGTACACAACAAAGTATCTTATTTCAAGAACAAATGACCAAAAAAAAAAAATTAACACACAAATATTTTAAGAGGCTCAAAGATGCATACCTGGAAAAATATGGAGTCTGAAAACTGCCTCCACAAACTTTCAGAGCGGGGTTTATTTTGGCAGTATTTTTCATAAATCTGGAAGTCTTCCATCTAAAATTGGAGAGAATAGAATAGAGTTCATAAATGATCGTGATTTTAACAGACATAGTTCTTAAGAAAAATATAACTCTTTGGTGCATCACATGCAAAAAAAAAAAAAAAGGAAAAAAGTTAAGGGTTATTAATTTCGCACACAGAATTTCAGAATAAAACACTGCCGTTAATTTTTGCTTCAGTTGAACGGTAAGCACCGTGTAGAGAAGCACATATTATAGCCACAAATATATTTAAGTTTTCACATGATAACACGTGAAAAATAACACTCAATCTTGTATCACTGTCTGTACAAACTATTTAATTTTTTTTTTCTTTTTTTTTCCATAGTAGATTTGGATCTGCTCAGGCTCAGGCTAATGAAGGGAATCTGATGGCAATTATTAAATTTAATGTTACAAATATTACAATAGTTACATTCTCATCTGTGCAGTCTTAGATGAGCTTATGAATGAAATGCTAGCAGAAGACATTTATGATACATACCTGATCCAGAAAACACCGTCCGACTAGCTCTGGGTATTCTACATAATTTTCTAGTTCTCTCAAGAATATTCTACAAGGAAGAATAATTTCTTAGAACTATGTTAAAAGTAACGGTTGTAGTAAAATGTTCACATTCTTACAATTCATTTTCTAAACTTTTGGAAGTTTAGGAGAGTAGTTTATTTTGCATTACAACTTTCAATATAAAGCAAACAAATCAAATCTCCCTAAATAACGCTTGCTTTAACTAGCCTGTAACTAAAAGTCACAATGATTTTTCTTCAGGAGAATGAACATAACAAAATGTCACTTGTGTTCCACAAACATTTGAGTTAAATTTCACACAACCTATCTTTTTTAAGTATTCTTCCCCTCCAGTGAAATAGGAACTTTTGTACGCTGAACAGTCAGATTGGACTCAGGAAGGCTCTTCCAGCAAATTTATTCAGATTTAAAGAAACAACATAAGATACCTTGCAGTAAATGTAAAGTAGCTGCCCACTGAAATGCGTTAAAAAAAAAATGCAAATCTCACCTGTTGTGAAAGTGATAGATTTCTTCCATATTCCCAAACAAAATATCCTTCTTATTTTGGAGCTCTGATGGAATAAGATGAGCCATTAAGGGGTTGTCCATCTCTGCAGCATAGCCCTAGAACACAGGAGAGAGGCTCACTGTTTATCTCCAGTTAGACCCAGTACCTCTCTCTCTCCCCCAAACAAGGTCATCCGCCTGCAGGCTGATAAACAGCCATGAAAGTTCTGTATTAATCATGGAGTATGTCTTCTAATTTGTTTTTTCCAGTAAGTCCAGTAAGACACGCATGCAACATTTGAATAATTACTGCAATTCTTAGTTAGGCAAAGCAAATTCTTAATCATTGTCGCCAAGCACCAGCTATGTATTCCCATGCTGCTTGAAAGATTACACCTTCTCCATCAGACTTTACCCCCAAAAAAGTTCTGAGGGGTCAACACTTCAGAATTCTAAAAATAGCTAAAGCATGAAATCCATAAATTAACAAAAACAACAACAAAAGGTGTAAGAAATCTTTTACTTCAGACTGGTATAGCACTTTTTTTTAAAAAAAAAATTCATAAGAAAAAAAGACCTTCATATTTTATTACTGATTCAGTACGTATATTTTAAGAAAAAGAAATTAAGAGGTAAACTCTGCAGGCAGCCATAAATATCATTACTCTTTGTAGTATATAGGGCTTTGCAAAGTCTTCCCTTTGAAAATTGTTCCAAAGGGGAAATATGTAAGTGGAAAAAGGAATACAATGCGAAACCCTGAAACAGACTAGGGCAATACTTTGCCCCAGTAAAATCACTGGATTTCACAGGCTAAAATGAGATGCCGATTGTTGTTAATGTAATCGTGGCTCAGATGAAAGCACTTAAAGGAATTTCCCAGTTTTGGGGATTGCAATTTTCCATATGAATCCTTGGCAGTGAGAAAAAGCACAGCGATGAAGTGTGATGCAATATTAGGAGCCACTGTCCATATAGAGCAGTATCAGGTCATTGTACAGGTAATATGGAAAAGTTGATAGAGCAGGAGAAACAAAGAAACTGGGAGACTAGCCAACACTAGAAATAAATAACGATAATTTCTCAAAACCTGGAAAAGTGCCATTGCACAAGACCCCACAAAGGATCTGATTCAGAATTACTGTTGACAGTTCTGATCACCCAAGTTCAAGAGCGATTAACCTCAAATTGCAGGAGACGTCCTTGGCACAGTCAGAGCACTGGGAAGGCTATCATATTGGCAGAAACCTAAGGGAGTTCATCCTAGCAAGACAAAGGACACACTATATTCTATGTAGAACTAGAATAAGCAATAGGAGGAAACAGAACAACAGATTCTGCAACAGCTCTCCAGCAGCATCAGCATTCCTCAGCTATGAGGGTCTTGATTTTATGAATATAAATATGTAGATAGCACTGCCTCCAACAGCAAGGAATAGTTCCAAGTGGTGCCTAAGGTTCACCTCAGACCTGCACTGCTTCACCATCACACATCAGACGTGAGTGTGCTGTTGTCATCGAGACTTCCCAGCACTTGGTCAGGGCCCAGAACACTGTTGTAGGAAGTAGAACACAAACCAGAGGCAAGGCCAAAACATTTTTTTTTTTAAACACTGAAGAGTTCAAAGTCTTCATACAGTACTTTTATTTGAAGGGGTGTACCCAGAAATTGTCACTGCCTGCCCATAACTTATGACAGTTCCTGCTTCAGAACTTAACATTGCATGGAAACCAGGAGTACCCCATTGGCTTCACTCCAGTTCCTCCTAAGGAAAATAATTCATCCTCAGTTATCTGTGATTTTTTATCTTCTGCAGTTAAACTGGATTGCAACAAAATGATATATCCATGGCTGAAGACTTGCAGCACTTGGGTATCTCCAAAGCAACTTACACTACTGCATTATGCTTCTACACTTTCATCTTCGTAATTTTGAATCAAGATATTCTTATTTCAAGGCACTCTATTGCTGTAGTTGGACCCAATATATTTGGGGAATCAATCAAATGTCTACAAAAAGAAAAGCAAAATACAGTTTTGCCCCTCTTACACAAGGTTCTCCCAATGCAGGTTCATGTTCCTATGTGAAGGAGAACCTTTTCTTTTTGGTGGAGTCAGGGGTAATGCAAGACTGTGGAATGAATTTATATGGGAATTAAGGACAAATACAAATATTTCTACCTTCTACCTAAATAACTAGGTTGTCCCAGGCTTGTGTTTTCTAACGTAAGATCCTACATGCATGAGTATTTATAGAATAACAAAAATGCCTTTTCCTACCTCCATTAAAATAGGAATAGAGAGGAGAGATGTGATAAGCACATTGCTTGATAGGACCAACTAAGACACTACAGTGATAAGGAACCATATGAACAACCATGAAACAGAAGAGGTAAACAGATTCACTAACAGCCACAGAGAAACTTAATCCTTACCTCAAGAACACAGAGAAGTTCTTCCACATATGCCCGTTCGGTTTCAATAAGTTCATTAATTACATGCCTATATGTAAAGAATGATAATTAAGGAAGGCCTATATCAGAAGAGTATCACCTTCATTCAGGCATTTAGGGCATATTTACGTATACAGAGTATCTCCATTACAGGTAATTTCCTTAATATTCAACCAAGCATGCCTTTCCCCTCCACATCCCCTCCCCCGCAAATTTGTGAAAAGCTAACAAAGCCTCCAGTTTCCAGGTATAAAAGCAAGCTCTGCTATATCAGTTGCAGGAAGTAGCAAGTTATTTTTGGAATACAAGGGACACAGTTGGCTTTTTATCCGGAAACGATTTGTCTTAAGATTTAATCAAAACAGGGACTAAAAAGAGGTAAATAAAAAACTCAAGTCCTTTCAAGTACGGGGACCAAAACCTCTGAAAGTTTGAATGAGGCTTAGATGTTTCTGAAATGAAAACATGCAATTACCCTGCCATAGCATCACCTAGCTGTAGTAAGGCTGGAATCCGATACCATACAAAGTACAAATAAAGCTACAGACTGAAACAGACTAAAATATCTTTCTCTGTGTACAGAACATATTCCAAAAGTACAGAAGCTTAACTTGGAGAAGCATATTCATCTTACCGAATTCTTCCAGACTTTACTGGAAGCAAATCAGAGAAAGAATTTTTGTTTGTTTGTTTGTTTACCAAGATATACTTACTGCCGTAATACAGCTAGGTTTTCTTCATCATCCATTGTAGATCCTCCCCTGTTTTGATGGAATTCAGTCATTTCACTCTAAAAAAGGAAATAGGGTGAAAAAAAGAAAAGAAGAAAAAAAAAAAAAACCACAAATCGCAGCATCACTGAAAGAAAAAGAAGTATGAAACTTTTCATCTTGTCTACTTGCACACATTTTCACTGTACTCCATTAGAGATAAAGGCAATTTGTAAGAAGGCAGCAAAAGATTCAAAGTCAACCGGAAGGTCTTGAGGCACACAAAAACACCTAGCTACAAGGAACTCTCCAGGAAGGGCCACCTTTGGAAAAAACATAGCTTAAGCTCCCTTTCCAAAAAGGGGAGAATGTCAGAGCATCAGCATAACTTCCAAGTTAGTCCTTCATTCTTTTACTCGGGGCAATGTCGTCCCCTTCTGCTAACATCCTACCTTGACATGGAAGTTCACTATTGCAACTTTTACTGTAAACAGCTGAGCTCATCACACTTGTTGAAGAAGAGGAGGTTGTGCTTCCAGTCCCCCCCAGACCAAAGCCCTTTTATTTTTTCTCCCCTACAAATCCTTGCCACTACTGGTCATGTGAGCCTGCCTATCTCTTTGCATCACTTCTTGGCCCTTGACCAACCTTTGCTGAACTAGTTCAACTCTCAAACCCAGTGGGAAACTGTTTCTATTGCTGCCATCAGGTTGCTTTCCTTGCTCGAGGCAGGGCAGGAAGACCTTCCCCACTTGGGAATGGCAAACCATTAGATCAGGTGAAGCTATCTTCGAGCCAATGACAACTACCTCTTCACTCTTGCCAGTTTTAAGTGCAGCCAATTATTACTGGCAAATAATAAATGTTTCCTGTTCATACACTTTATGTTTTGCTGCCCCTAACGTTTTTCCTAATATAGGCAACTATTTACTTTGCCTTCCCTCATACCTTGCTGAGCAACAAAGCAGCCTCTATTTAAGCCACACAGCTGCCTCACCATAGCGGTAATACCGTCACTTTATTTTTGTTGAATTGCTTCATTCTTCAGGTTCTTTAATATTCCATTGTGTTATAACTTTCTGTGGCAATACGTGCATGAAAAACATGAAGAAAAAAAAATACAAAAGTTACCTTTGCTCTTTTGTAGTTTACCCTCCGGAGCACACCGCTTTCTGAGTTGGATACATAATCTCTTTGAGGACCTAGTATGTAAAACAAAATCCAACAGCAGTTAGAATTTGAGCAGATCTGGCACAGATGTTTGTGCAACCAAAAATTATAGCTGAAAGTTCCTCAGCACAGCGCAAAAAGTTATTTAAAGACTACTATAGATACTTACCTGGAGAGGTACAGGGAGATTTTAGGAAGGCTTCAGGTCTTGGTGCAACTGGCTGAACGGGACGTGTCTGCTTAGCTGCCAGTTTCTTAAGGCTTACTTGTCTCTTTTGGAACATTTCCTCCATGCTTTCCTGCTTCTGGAATACCTTTTGCACATGCTCCTAAAATTGCCACAGAATTAGAAAAAAAGGCACTGTTACAGACTTTTCAACAAGCTACACTGTCATTTGTGGAATATTGATTTTTAATAGTGATTGCTTTTACACCACATCTAAAAAAAAATCCTACTCTTTAGGGAAAAGTTTTCTGGCATACTTATTACAAGAAGGCATCAACCATAAAGAAAAGAAACATATTTCCAAGTTTTACTTGCAGTCTAGAAAACTGCCTTTTTCTAGAAGTCACTCAAATAGCAGAGAGAGTCATGTTTCCTACAAAAGTAAATATTTTAAGGACTCTATTTTATTTTTTTTAAATCTACTATCTGAAAAGTTTAAGTCACTATTAAAAGGCTCTAAAGCCCTTGGTATCTACCTGAAGATGAGACAAGACTAGCAGCTCAGGCAGGCAAATGTGTTGGCTTTCCAGTTCCCAGATATAATGACTAGATGCCTGACCTGATGATTAGAATAGAGTTACCTAGCAAGATTAGCTTTATCAATGGCCATGCAAGAGAGCAATTCTAAAAGTAATTCATGGATGAACATACACATAAAATACTTCTGGTACCTTTAGGTCCTCATTGAGGATGTGTGCATACTCTCTGTAAATTTTATTCAACTCTTTGATTTTATTGCCTGCACCAGTGTCCAGGAACTTCTCAATCTCCTGTAAAGCTGATTCTGCACCATCCTGAGACTGACACTTATCTACAGATTGTGAAGCCAGCAGATAAATTCCTTCATCACACCACTTCATAGACTAGAAAGAGAGAAAAGAACAGGCTTAGTATACACTGATATTATCATTAAGAAGTCAAAAAAACTTTACACTTCTGCTGTGAAATATTCAGACACATAGAAGTTTTCTCCCTATAACATCTAGATATTTCTACCTGCTTTTATCACAATTGGTTGACTGAGGTTTTACAAGTAAGATAGGAAAGAGAACTGTTCCACACCAAATTTACCTTTTCTAATAAGCCATGCAGTTCTAGAGATTTGTTCAGAAGATTCCTCTTCTGTTCTGTCTCAGTAGTAAAAGCATCACAGAGATGATGAAGTTCGCTGCATTTTGGAAGAACGGAGTCCACAGCATAATGATTGCTTTGAATAAAATGGTCACCCTCTGAGGCTAGCATTCTGGCCTTTGCTATAGTTTCCTAAGAAACAAAGCACTGATTTAGGCACATTTATTCCTGCATTCAGGTAAAAGAAAATAAGTACATAATTATTATCTATTTTTATCTATTTTTACAGAGAAAAACAGACATGCTATGGAATAAAGAAAAAACAAAACAAACAAAAAAACCACACATACCTCTAGTTAACAGTCACCTCATTTAATAAATCCAAGCCATTTCCTGTCTTTCCAGATGCATAAAAACATTTATGCCTCCACCTTTATTCTATTAGAGTAGATTTAGAACAATTAATGAGTTTAATTCTACAGCCCCCTGAGGGAACTGCTATTAGTCTTTCTGTGCCTTAGTTCTTCAGCAGCAACTAAGTGACTTATCAGAGATGCTGTGCGTGTTTGTAAGAAACCTGACGGGTATCCTCAGCAATCTGAATGCAGATCAAAGAATACTCACCTCAGCCTCAAAAGCTCACTTAACAGGTCATAATATGAAAATAAGGCTTCACTCCTGCACTGCTGAGAGTATTTATGTTGGTCATGTTTTAGCATATTATATATACTGAATACTCAGCCTTCAGGTGGTTTCAGTAGGAATGGATGAAGCTCTTGATCATTAAATCCAGAACTTGGCTATTGTAGACACATTATGTGATTCTTCCACGAACTGAAGAAATCAACTTTAGGACTGGCTGCTTGACTCTTTATTGAGGGGTGCACTAGACCTTCCTAATTCCATTTTCCCCTTACTGGAGACACGGTTGTTCCAGCAATTTTTTTTATTCCAAATTCCATTTTCCCCTTACTGGAGACACTGACTCCATCCTGTCGTCAGCTTAAGCTCTGGACATCAGCTCTAGTTTGTATCCAAATATTGTTCCTCTCCAAATATCCACAGTATTACATTAGAAATAAGGAAAAGTTACAGAACTCTTACACGTGATTTTTCTTCAAAGTTGGACAGATCTTTCAAAATGTGCTCCACATGTGAGCAGCTGTTTCCTACATCTGTGAAAGCAGACAGTCTCTCGGACACAATATCCAAAGCCGCTTTAACCTGAAACAAGATACAGCAATCCATCAATGAAGATGATTTCACCTCTCTGGAGGCTCATCACTTAAACAGCCGATAACCAATGTTTTTGGTCAGGTCACCCATGGTACAGAACGAGTGGAACACAGAGACAAATTTATTTTTGTCAGTCTACCTGTACCCCAAATTCAAAATGAAAACAAACACAGAAAAAGGCAGCAAGTTAGCCTTGTTTTCTGGTACTGTTAAAAAATTTTTTTAAAAAAAATCCAAGAACAACAATATTCAAGGAACATATATGATCTTGCTTTTTACTGGCAATATTATAAAATGGCATTAATACAAAGAAATGATCAAATGCAAGGGAGAGATCCCCCCACACTACTGATAAGAGACAGGATAGAGACAGACACACACACTTGTAAAAAGTTTTTAACTGTTGTTTCTATAGGGCCAGATCCTGAAATCAGCTACACTAGTATAAAATGATTGTAGTTATTATCAAATATATGAGTTAAACTAACATGAGATCAGAAACTGGCTGTACAATTTTTAGTTTAGCCTCCACCCAACTTCTAACATTGTGGTTTTAGCTTCCCACCCACATTGTTGGAGGCTGTTTTATAAAGCTTTATAAAGTAAACCAGCCAGAAAGTTTAAGTAAGCCTTGGTTCCATCAAGGGGCTACCAGCAAGACGAAAGCTTTGCAGCAAACATACTATGCTTCTGTGGTGGAAAAAAAGTTTCAAAGGAATGAATTCCTATACAACGCTGAGCCTCTGGAAAATAATAAAATAAAATAAAATAAAAATAAATAAACAAATAAAGACACCATACCACTGCACAAGCGAAGCTATCATATCTCTATAGACAAGTATTCAAGGCAGCAAAGAGAGCAGGATGTCAAGAAAAAAAATGGAGAAAGTTTTCATGCACACACACAAGTTACAAAAAGCAGGGGATGTATTTGCTTCCGAATCATTTCCACGTTACCAAATATTGACTGCCACCAAGGAGCTCTCACCTCTCTAAAATTCAGTTCGAAATGCCGGAGGTGCAGGCACTGCTCAAGTTTTTGCTGATGCTTAGTCCAAAACCGATCAAAGGCAGTCTCAGTTTCCTGCAACTGAGCCAGAAGCCTAAAAGGAAATACTGTAAGAGTGATGGATGCAACCTTCAAGGGACAATACAGTCTTCCACGGTAAACAGAAAGCCTCCTCAAAACAGTATTTCTCCACTTAAAAATTGAACCATATATATATATATATATAAAATATTGCACAGAATTGTACCGTAGAATAATATTTATGTTAAACTGAAACCCAACAGAAACATTCAGTTCTGAAAAGCTGGGAAGTGCTGCTTAGAGGCTAGCTGCTGTGCACACCTACCTCTCAGTTCTGACCTGGGGCATGGGGACTTGGGGCTAGCAAACATGAGGAAAATGTACAAATGCTGGCCAAGACTCAGAGGAGCCAAAGCCTTGGGCTACAAGGGGAGGGGAAAAAAAAAAAAAAAAAAAAAAAAAAAAAAAGAAAATAGAGGAGGGCAAGAATATGTCCTGCTGTGACCAGCCAGCTGCCCTTACATTACTCTCCATGGAGAAAGGCCCACAAAACATTCAAGGTCATTGCTTCTACTATAAAGGAGCCTATCTGCTATGAAGATCATAGATGGCTGTACAGCAGTATTCACTTCACTTGTGATTTTGGCCCAGCACCTTAAGGCTTGACTTTCCAACTCATCTACCGCTGTTGCGTTTGACATCATGCTGTCCTACGGGCTTATCTCTACAGTGTGCTTTGCTGTGCTTAGCCTACATTGAAGGAAGGCTGTAGGTCAGAGTTTTAATGAAGTTTCATTTTAATGTCACAGATTTGAACACCGAATTCACAGGCTGAGCTGATTAGAAAAAAATGTACACACATACACAGGTAATTTCAGCTTTCTTCAGATGTTATATATAAAGTGGGAACATTTTGCATAAATGAATACCTCCCTATAGCTGCCTTTCAGATGGGCAGTAGCAACACTCACAAAGAAAAAAGTGGCTCCTGCCAAGCTTTGTTCATTGGAATGGACAGTTATTTAGAAAGAAACATCAGTCTAAGTGCGACAGAAATGTGAACTGACAGACCAAAAAAACAATACAGAACACTGCCTTGGGGAAATGAGCTAAGCTTTTATAGCTTTGCTCAGATTTACATCTGTTATGATGATAGAGAACTTGAAGGCTGGCAATCATCTGCAGTATGTGGTGGGGGACACAACACCTATTACCTTCCATAAACACATGCACATTGCTGTGTACATACTTCAAGAGCAGAGTACTTTCCAACAGCCCTCTGAAAGCTATTAGCTACACTGAGATCCACAATTTTAAAAGCTCCTTCAGGCTTGTTCAGAAACAAGAACAATCTCCTACTCCAACACTTTCTCTGAAGAAACAGTGTGAAATTAACTGTTGACCCCAGAGACCACAGAAAGAACTGACCATTGCTCAATTACCCAAGTGCAAAATCCTCTTCTGAAAACACTTTGTGTCAAGTATGGACATTTAAAAAAAAAAAACACCACACTACACACAGAGCTCCTGAATGACACAGTGGACAAACTACTCAAAAGAGGTATATCACTTCCACCTTTTTCTCTCTGCCTTCCTAACAGCGAGATGCTGGACTGTGCTTTGGTCTTTCTTACAAAGAAAGAATCTTCTGTTCAACTATACAGTTCAAGTATGACAGAAAGCCAAAAAACCACCACAGAAAGAAAAAAAAAAAAAAAAACCGCCCACAAACACACAGTGGTACTATGTTAATACTGAAGTTCAAATTGTTTCCCATATTCCCTTAATTGCAGGTGACCAACAGATTACTTTGCTCAATACAGATCTGATAACAAAAGTGTTGTTTCTGAAAGCACTTTTCCTATGCTGGCTTTGCAATGCTTCCTTATTTGCTGAGCTTGCATGCAGAATTGAGTACTAGAGCCAGACATGGATCAAAAATCCAGAATAGCATCATGTGCAGTATTTTATATCTCTCACCTTTTTACAGTTGTTTGATTGTCTAGCTGATCTTGATTCAGTTTGTATTCAGGGTTCTCAGTAACTGGTTTTGTAATACTTCCAAGGATATCATCTCCCTGTTCTACTGCTAACCTTATATCCTCCTACAAAACAAAACCAAAAAGTCATCACAAAAATTCTGTAGGCTTTTTGGAAGACTTTATAAAGCACCAAAACAGAAAAAGAAAATAGCAATAGATAAACTTAGCTTAGCTTGATTAAAAGCAGTGACAAGTAAAGAGACTAAACACTAAAACTATACTATAGTTTAGATAACTATAGCCTAGATAGCCTTATAGTTTCTCACTAGGCTACAAAATTGTACATCTAAAACTTGAGATATCTGAAAACCTGAAATAGTTTCTATTTAAGCTGATTTGAAAGAACATTTGTCCATTCCTCAAAAGATTGCATACTTTACAATTGCATGCAAATACCATTAAATTTATTGTTGCAAAAACTATCATCAAATTCAACACAACTTACAAAGGAACTTCTATTTCAACATGAGTCATTATGTATTTTTATTTAGGCACCCAAAGATTTTCTTAACTTCAAAACAAGCCAAACAACTTCAATAGGATTACAGAGCCTGACTTTATCATCATATATTAACTTAAAATACTCTCCAGATTTTCTATTAATGCTGTTAGTCATAGTTTAAAAACACACTTTAACAGAAAAGGCATTTCTATACAAGTTACATACCTTCATTTTGTCCTTCTTCTCCGTGTGTGCTGCAAGAAGGGTGCTGGTTGATTGTACATCATTTGGCAGTTCAGTTTCAGCCAACTCAGTCCCAAAGGACTGAAGAATCTGAGCTGTTTGCTTAACCATTTGGGCAAAACTTTCTATAGCCTTTTGGAATTAAAAAAAAAAAAGAAAAAAAAAAAAGAAAAAATCATTGAAGATGTTTCAAGTTCAAACCACATGCATACACATACACACAGACAAATGCACACAAAATGCAACTCATAGCAAACACGCACAGCTGGACTACAAGACTGAAAAATGGTAAAAGCATAATTTGTAAGCAAGAGTAACCATCACCATTAATTTCTTAATTATATATTGTTTTCCTAGGCTTGCATCAGGTGTATCTTCCTCATTTTCATAATCTGGAGTTATTTTACAACTTGAATTTTTTCTTTCTTCGAGCAAAACCAATAAACCTCAGCACAACAATATACTGTAGTTCCTTTGCTCCAAGCCCTAAGAAAACCACTCCCAAGTCATTACTCATATTATTTCTCTAAGATGACTAAGTACCATTGGGAACATCATCTCACTCAGAGTAAGTCAACTTGCATCAACTGGAATCTGTTTCAGAAATGACAGTGTATAAAACAGAAGGGCCCATTAAACTGAAAAGTTGACACAATAACTAAGACTCACAGTGCGATGGGAGAGCCATCTGTTATGGCAGTAATCCAGGGTGCCACCAAGTTCTTCTGTTAATTGTGTTTTATCAATATAACCCTGCAGTTCTGATACTGAGCCCAGCATTATGATCTGCAACAGCAAAGAGGAAACATGATCAGTGGTGGTAGATCTCTTATTAGGGATTTTGAGCTAAACCCTCAGTCTCTGATGGGGTAATTTCTACTTAATACAAAAGTATGTGATGGAATTGTTTCCTTGGAGCAATTCCAGCAAAAGCAAACTTAAAAGTTGTTTCAACCAAAGGCAATGTACATTTAAATAGCTGCAAAAATGAGCATGAGCATCAGGCTTAACAGCACATTTTTATTTATTTAATTCTCTAAACCATACATAGTTATCTTCCAGCAGAGCAACACTACTTTATTCATTACTTGCTACTTTTCCTCACTGACCTGGGCCTGTGCTAGAGAATAATAGTATTTCCACAAATTCTGCATGTAGGGATATTATTCCCCAAAAGCAGAAATAAAGGGATAAAGGGGAAGTATTTTTAAGACTTGCCTTACCTTTGAAATTGGCAGCTGATAAGTAAAAAAACAAAGAAACAAACAAAAACAGCAAAAACAACTCCCCTTATCTGTACATATTATCATCTTTAGCACCCCTGACTTAAAAATATAAATGCTATGCACTTAAAAGTAGAAACTACGGGTTTATTGGCAATCTAATATCAGGCACCTATAGTAGGCTCACTCCACTAATAAAATTTATAGCAGCTTTCTTTGGCAGATGCATCTGTCAAAAACAAAATCCCCCCAAACCAAACAAAAAATTCTTCCAAGAATAAAACCATCATGAATTACCCAAACTGCAGAAACTACCTTTAAGCACCTTTTTTCAACTCCTCCCACGTTGGATAGATTAAATGCTGTACTAGATTTCTGATGATAAAGTGAAAACAGAAGACCTACTTACAGGCACTTTCATTTTAAACTCATCTTTGTTGAACTTGAAAGCGATGTCCGAGAGCGCTCGATGAAAGAACCCTGTTGGGCGCAGCACAAGGACTAGTTGCAGGTTTCCTGGGAAAGATGCCTGCAAAACAGGTTCACTCTGTGACTCGCCGAAGGCATTTTCACACCACGAGAAGCCTCTCAAGCCACAGAGCAACACGACAACAGTAACAGGGCGCCCAAGTCTTGCCCTGAATGCTTCTTTCAAAAAGAAACATACTTGGCTTTGGGAACAGGGATCTATTTTCCTGGTATCAAATTTTTCAGCGCTGGCTTCATTGCTCTTAAGGCTACATCACAGCCAAAGAGACTAAGGGACAGAGGTAGCTGAGGACTTTTTCCAGCAGCATTACTTACACACTTATCCTATCTTCTCTTTAGAGAGTACCAAGACAAATCTCCATTACCATCTGGGTGCATAGCAGCAAGTTTCTTGTTTGTGCATATATTTATCTTGCTAATTACCTACACAAACTATCAGCATCCTGGCTGAATTTCTCAGGCAGCAACTTAAGAGAAATAAGGCTGAGTTTTTCAGACAAAAATAGAAGTTCAAAATAAACACAAAAGAAGCCTCAATTAAGGTTTTTCCTCATCATTCCAACTAGTAGTTCAATAGATCTTTTCCAGTTCTGCAAGTGAGATGAGAGGAAACCAGCAGAAAGCAGAAGCAAAGCAATGAAGCCACATTAAATCGCTAAATATCCACCTCTGCTGTGGCAGATGTTCACAAACTTAGTATTTAGCCAATCTTGAAACATACGAGTCTTCGCCCCTATTCAGTATTTCCACTGTAGGGTAGGATTGAAGAAAAAGCTCCCTAAAGAAGTGATTATTATAATGATTAAGCACGCAGTTTTCTGCATCACACTGTTTGAAATTGTCATATAGTTGGATTACTAAAAGAGAATTGAAACAGTGACTAAAGGAACAGTCTGTTTCTCTGTTTCGGTACCTAGTGAAAGTCTTCATATCTGAATGGTTGGAGAGTGGTATAACACAAATTGAAGGCTTATCAAAGGCATCAGTGATGTGGCACTCTCTTTTAAACAGAGAAATAGTTCATTTGTTTTTCAGAAAGTTTCACAGATTACACTGTGGTTCCCAGATAATCGGTGTACAAGTGAGACCTCAGATTGATTAATGCACCTTAAAGAGTTGAGCTTTACTCTCTGCCTCCACATCACTGATGTCTAAATTTTCTGGAAAACCCAGTGATTCAGTCCTCAAGGGATGCGGTGGACAGCTGGGGGAAGAAAAAAGAAAAAAGAAAAAAGAAAAAAAAAAAAAACAAATTGCTCTCCATCTTTGTACTAGAAACAATCTTTCTGTGCCAAGTAAATACCTTGGATTGCTACACCTTGTGACCTGATTATTCCACAGTTATCAAACATGGGCAAAAAATGCTGTTGACAAACTTCTTGACCGTATTGAGAAGGAAAAGTTTAGGAGCTTTAACATTTATTCTAAATAACTGGAAGGAAGTCAATGGCAATTTAAATGATTTAACTAATGCTAACAAACTCCGCAAGAATGGATAAAATATATTTTTTCAGAAGATTTTTTTTTTTTTTAACCAAAAGAGGGACATTTGTATAACCTATTCACACAGACTTGTGTCAGTTTATTTTGTGCCTGTAATACCAATGTGGACAGTATGATCGAGCTCTTAATTCCCTTGCTCAAATTCCCATAAGTAAAATCTAAACCAGCCAGTCTGCCCAAAACAGTGTGGCTGGGATCACTACAGGCTTCTACTGTTCAGACTAATTCCCATTCAAGATTTGTCAGGAACTTGGTATCTCCTGCAAAAGCTCAAATTCTTGATTACTTTGTTTGTGCTCATCTCTACTAGTGTGTGTCTCCTATATATTCCCTTTGTTTTCTTTAAAAAGGGTTTTAAACATAACGCTTGCTCTGCCTCGCATGGTTAGGAGTCAATCCTGCAAATCAACATTTATCAAACAACCAGCAAGGGTGGATTTCTAGGGTAAACAATACTGGACCACTGACATCCCATTTTCTGAGTTTACACCCTCACTGCCAAAATATTACTATTTTCCTAACTTGTATATTTTTCTAAAGCTCTGGTGACTTGCAGACCCAATGACATGATGCAAGAGGCACTCATGATTGTGTTCAAACTCAGCACTGAACAAAAGACAGAACAAGAAGCCCAACCAGTCTCCATGCCAGTCCAGAGCCTGTCTGAAGCCGTTGGGTACTGAGTAGAAACAACAAGGACTTCTCAGTGGCACTGCACCAAATGTTAAGAGTAAAAATAAATATTCATGAAAATTTAATAGTGTCATAATGTAAACTATCTTCAAGGACCATTTAGGTGGAGTTATTGATCATTCCTGAAGAAGGGTCTGTGTTGCCTACAACTGACTTTTTTTCCCCTCCAAAAGCATCTTTCCTTATTTGCCTAAATAACACTGTTCCATCACCAGCATCTTGCCTCAAATATTGTACTATAACTAAGTTGATGCCTATGCAAAAGTGACCAGGGATAATACACAGTTACATTCTTGGTATCATTTTTGAACTGACAGTGTCACCTCTTCAAACTGAGTACCCTTAGGAGAGATACTGAAGCGGAAATTAAGACCTTTTACCATGCTCTCACACTTAAGAATTCAGTAGAAGACATCCTAGAAGCTTTCTCAGTTCAGTTTCCTTCTTTGAGCAATAATTTACAGAATTTATTGTGGCTAATAAATTCTAGAAATTTATCTAGCCATTAAAGAAGAGACATGAGGCTTTGACACAAACATAATTCTACAGTCCACAACCACGTGCAAGTGACACAGAATTTCCTCTGCATACAGAGTAACAACAGTTCTCGATCATTCTTTAGCTAGAGGTGATAAAAGAATGACACTATTTTGCTTCTCTGCATAAATACCAACCTCCTTACAGCAGCTTGATGGCAAGATTTAGCTTACGATAGGTCAGCTGCAGCAAAGCCATCTTCAGCGGTCATGAAGACAAGCTGACATAGAGGACATACAAAAGTACTCCAAGTCCTTCCCTACAATGCTGTTAAACAGCACAGCTTAAGCAGGCAGTCACCAGCACAGGGACAGCTCGCATCCTACCTCAGCCCAAATTGTCTCTCACTTCCTCTCACCAGCATCACCACTGACACTTCCTCTATCCCACTTGATGGTACCCACAATTAGGTTTCTACCTGTTTGTCTCCCTTCTACACTTCTCCATGAATTCAGAAACATGTCGGTTGCAATGACATACACGTTTAAAAACAGAAAAAAACACCACGTAGATGTATGTAGGCATGTAGATATCAATTGAAACTTTTAAACTAAAGCCTACCAACTCCAACAGCAGAGCACAATATTTCATTTCACAGAATCAAAACTAAGTCTGCTTAAACCTGGAATTTATATACAGCACAACCCTTAAAGCTTTCCAATACACAGATGTCTTTGCTACCCCTCAGTTGCCTCAAACCAGGGAGAAGAACCTTTAGTAGCTGCACAAAGCAAAAGCTACCTTAAATCCTCAGGGGAATCAGCTAGTACTACTCAGAAACAGGCTGATTTGCCTGTGTTGCATCTTTTTGGCACTTGTGATATTACAACTCTGTTTTCAGGTTTTTTTAGCACATTAAAAAGAATGTAATAAAAAGGGAGAAAACAAAACACTAACTATACCAATAAAACTGAAAATGTCTGAACATATAACGTTCTTAAAACACCCATATCAACAAAGAAAAATTACACAGCATCTCAACATAACCTAGCATGGTCACACTTAGATCAGTTTTCTAGCTATTATCAATGAATAATTCCAGCGATTAATAAATTTAATTAAAAGGTTAAGCACACTACTAGGTTTTTGGCGTTGCTTTGAACAAAAGCAAAAATATCTCTGATAGGAAAAAAGTCTAGGGCTTAAAAGACTTTTCCCCATCTCGTCTCCTTCTTCAAGCCTAGATGACCCTTCAGTTTGCAGAATATGATGCAAAAAGCTAGGCTAGAAACTAGGCTAGCAGAAAACCATACCTAACATAAAATAGCACTTTTCATGACTATGGAGCATTGGTTACTAAACACTTTTTTCCACTTCATCATCCACTCACTAAGTAACCTCTCTCTCTCTATGAGCAAGGCCAAAGACCTCCAAGCTTGGATTACTGTACCTCAATTTCTCACTTTGGATGTCAAGCCAATAGAAAGATTCCAGATGGCATAGAAATGGGACTGCCTGGCTCCTGCAAGGTTTAGGCTGATAATAACACTCCAGGCTCTTCACTGTCTTCTAGTCTCCTCTGCTTAACTCTCCTCCTCTGCCCGCTTAACGTCTTGCCCCAGGCTTCAAAGCACATAATGGCCCGGGCTGCTGCTGCATTGAAGGCTGTACACTGATACATGAAGAGCGAAGGGCAACGCGGCCCTTTGGACAACGCAGTCTCAAACAGAAGGTCTGAAAGTGGCACTCAAAGTGTTCTCAAAGGTGGCAAATCCTGAAGCGATCTTCCACAGGTGGCTGGATGAAACCCAAGCCTTGTCACTTCTAGAAAAGCTTACAAAGTTTCACAACTGGAGAAAGCTTCCCCATGACCTGAATGGCCTTCCTACCAACTGCTTCCTAAAGATCAGTTGCACACGTATATGTTATTCCCTAAGCACCAAAGCAAGAAAGTTTATTTCCTCTGGATTTTCAATATGAGGCTCATTGATGGCTATGAATGAAACTCTTCATGATGCTGACAGCAGACTTTTGCGGAGCTAAAAGGGTGAGCTCACACTTCAGTCTTTGCCCAGAGATGTGGGATATCATACCCACAATGCAGTTATACAAGTTTCATTTCTCTTTTTAATGAAACCACACTGAAACTGTGACCAGAGCAGTATGAAACCCCAGAACACGCTGATTAGTACAGAATCTTGCTCCTGCAGTGTGCATTGATTACACCTTGGATTGGATAATGTGAGGAAGAGGCATTTACGACTCCCCAAAGCAGGGGAGAGTGATCTCTTTGGTCAGATACTGTCATTTCCCACTTCTCTCAGTTGGGACTCTAGAGAGTGGTTTTAGTGAGTTCTGGGACTGCAGCCTCCCTCAGAAGTCCTACATTATTTCTACAGCTCTCCCTACTTGTTCAGCCAGGGGAGCAGAAATATTCAGTAGGTCATCAACTCTGCCTGCCAGCAAAACCACAAGGTCTGCTGTGGCTCCATTCTTTCAGCAAGACATTTAACTGCAAATGGGGCATTTCAATACAAATTTATACTGAACAGAAGCTTGATCCAAGCCTTGGCAGCTGACAGGACAGTAATAATAATCCATACACACCTGCACTTCGACTTCAAGCAACAATGTAAAAACAGAAGAGTGAACAATTTGCAATGGCTAGCTGTTTTTCTTGTAATACAAGTTTGAGTTTTCTACAGCCTAAGAACATGCCAAATTAGTGCCAAAACTTCATCTTCAAAAACATAAAGCTTGTTTTTTGGCAAAATTCCACCTCTCACCCTACCCTAGCTTTCCTTGTAGACAGTATTTCTCACAGAGAAGCTTAAGGGTAGGATGAATTTTGTCCAACTTACAGCAATCTAAAAGGTATGCTTTTCATAGAATAAGCTATCTCCAGAAGGTTATCCATCCTACCTGTATTAGATGGGATGATTTACCCTCCAAATACATTCCTCTTGACTGCTGTAGGCCAATAGCCTCATTTTGGGATAGCTAAATCAAGAAAATAAAAACACATCTCGTTCGCAGTGTCTTGTGAGCCACAATCTGCACACTTGCAGTGGCAAAGGACAACCTCTTGGGCACCTTCCCTTTGCAACTCTGTCAACTAGGATATAAACACAGCAAAGCCTGCTTGTCCACACATGCTTGCCTCATCCTCTGCCCTTGTCACATCTCAGGAAAAGTGAGGCCCTTTTCCCGCTTAAACACCTCTGCTGGTTTCAGTTCTGCTGCTGCTACTTATTCTTCAACAGTATTCTTCTACTCAGAGCAAATGGTCCAGCCCTGTCCTTCCAATACCTCTGCTTAAGTAGCTTCGAAAGTTCTCCACAGTCTTGATGGACTCTACAACAACCTAAATAATCAACACAAGAGAGCACAGTGCTTCACTGCTCATTTTCTGTCACAGAAGAAATTAGTCCTTCCATCCCTTACAGATAGCAAAAAAGGAAAAATGAGGGCTAGAAAGACTTCATAAAATGTTTCCATATTAAAGTGTGAAACAAAAAATATTTCTTTGTTCACTTGGTTTCAAAAATGTATTTCTAGCATGCACTAAAATAATGTTTTATATGCAAAAAGCCTTGAAAAGGAGGAAAACAAGGAAGTCTGAATTTCCGGTTAACAGCTGCTCACCAATATATTTCCTATAGTTGTCAGAATATTGCTGTTGGGCAGATGCTGCAGTCAGGATAGTAGCATTGGGCAGTGCTCCAGCCCAGAGCACCTTGCACTGGCATCTCTGATTTCAGGATGCTCCCCCGAAATCCCTGTAATCCCCCCACGGTGATTATAGATCATTGAAAAAGACTGCAGGATAGATACTGCAGGAACTAGTGCAGATGAGACAAAAGCCTAAACTCTTCTCAAATAACACAAGAATAATATCCTCACATACAGCCGTAAATTTAAGCAATACTAAGACGTTAAAGATACCACGCTTTCAGGCAAAAAGTTCATTCTGGACAGCCCAAATGACACTTACATACTTGAACAATAACAAAAGAAAACAACAAAAACTGACTGTTCAGAAGAACAAGCAACTTAAGCCTCTAGTTACCCTTGAGCCATTTAAAAATCTTTGTCTATCAGTGGATGGACACTTTTAGAAATATATGCCTCGAGTTCCCTTC